GGAACGGGTGCGAACCCAGCGCAGGCGAGGGGAAAACGAAACCAATCAGTCGTCAAAAAACGCGCACGAGCACGCACGAGATTTGAAGGGGAGATTGAAATACGCTGACATCACGAACGGAAACAATAAAAACAAGGAGAAGGTTATAAATGCGACCGGCACCAAGTGCAGAGCGTGAAAGAAAATCAGGTGCTCTGAAAGGGGACCCCACCAGATGGCGCCTGTGTCTTCTGGGAGCCCTGGCCGGCGGCGGCGCCGCATCCAGCTTAAAAAGTTGTGAAAGCACGGAAGACCGAAGATTTGTTTGTTTACTAACCTCGCTGCAACACGAACACATTACCTCACCACAAGTGAACTTAAAAGACTCCGCGCGCGATGTCTCTCAGAGACACCACGAGAGCAGGAGACCGAAAAACAAGATGGATTTTCCCATCAACCGTCCAGAAAGCGAGAAGAAGGCCTGCCCGGCCCCGTGTGGCATCCAATCACTAGGGAAGCTCTGTAAATGACACCGAGTATGCTTATGTCACGACGAGTGTAAAGGGGCGCCAGATTAACATAAAACAAAGCGTCCGCGTCTGTCACACTCAGCGAACTCAGGAAACGAGAAAGGAGAGCGTCGAGAAGAGCTAATACAGAAGACGAACATTTTGGCTCAAGCCATTTTGGCTCAAGTCATTTTGGCTCAAGAAGTTCACGCTGTTGCGGCACGAGCTCAAGCTATCACATCGCCTGTCGCCGGGGCGGTCAGCCACCATCTCATCCCAGCGCTTCAGTGAGCTCCTGGTGGAACATTTTTCACAATTCACACACCTGTTCGATTCTGTCAGCATCACGCCATGGCAACCGGAGCTGCTGCTGCAGCACGTCCTGGCGAATCTACCGAGTTGTCTGAGTTTGCTGAAGGGCACTGGCAGAGGCCAGGGCGACGTCGTAGCTCCTGCACCCGGTGACCCCATTCATCGCCTGAAAGAACGCGCTGCGGTTGCCCGTGCTTTGCAGGAATCTCCAGGCGGTTCTCCTGAGAAGAAGTCTGCCCGCACGGGCGAGTCCATCGGCACGGAGACAGATATGGCGCTTGCTCCGACGCAAGTTGCGTCGCAGTACGCTCCTGCCCCTGCCTGGCCAGGCAGCGGAGGCAGCGCAGCGGCTCCGCACCCCTCCACCGGAGGCGCTGATGCGTCGAGCGGTGCTCCGCCCCCCTCCCAAGGAGGCGCTGGTGCGTCGAGCATTGCGCCTACCGCTCCTGGCGCGGGTGCGTCCCCCAGTGCAGCGGTCCCCGGCGCGGCGCTGGCCCCGGGTGCACGCCCGGGCGCGGGTTCCGCCCCCCCGGCGCATGCGGCGCACGCGGAGCAGCTACAACTGAAACCTACACCACCTGAACAGACAGCCAATGAGAACAGAAAGCTCGACTTCATCATCAAACATATGGCTACTTAAGACGGCGATCACGAATTCGCAGATTCAGATAATGCAGTCCACCAAGGCTTTAATCAACCAGACGGAGACGAAGTTGCGCACTGAGATTTCGCAGGCAGTCGACCCCCTGAAGGACGAAATGGCTGATTTCCGGAATCGTTTGGGAGTTCTCGAATCAAAACCGGCTTCATCAGCAAATGGCTCTTTCTCCAGCCGGCACTTGCAAATGATGAGCGCCATGGACGTTTCCAATCTTCAGATCGCGGTCGTCGGGTTTTCTACCTCCGACCTGCAGCAGCGCATTGCCGATCTTGAGAAGATCGCTTCTGATGTGAATCCTTCGGCGCGGCCAGTTTCAATGGGTCATTTTTTCTCTGGCCCTCGTAATTCGCAGACTGTCTCGAAGGCATCCTTTCCTCGATTTGTGTCAAACAAAGCCGTTCGTGATCTCTTAGTCTCTGCCGGAGGCAAAGGCGCGCGCGCCCAGACAAGCAGCGGCGCGACTTTCGTTTTGAAGCCCGCGAAATCCAGGATCAACGCCACTACGGATTGGGCCCTCCGCGAGGCCGAGAAGAAATCGAAGGCCAGGGCCCCTCGCGGCACGATCCGGATCGATTGGAAATCCCGCGCAGCATTAACAGCGCCGCCGGATTGAAGCAGGAATCTGGGGACTTGACCGGCAGTTTTTGCGCACCATTCAGCGATCTCTCGCTTTAGAATGAAAGGGGTCGCGTGCAGTTTTGTCACACTTCTCCCCCTCGCCCTTCGCTCTCTGCGCATTCCGCCGCCCCTCGCTCTGCGAGCAGTGCGCGGCCTCCTGCGCGTCGATCGAGACGTCGGGGCCCCCGATCCGAATCCGCCCTCCAACGTCGATTTCTCTCTCGCGAGGCCCAGCCCAGCCAGAATTTCACGGAGGCGGATTTTCGAACTGCTTCCGCCCAGGTTTTCGACCCGCCTTACCCGTTCGTCCTCCCTCCTCGTCTCCCCGGCCTCCTCTGCCTACTCGCCCTTCCTTCTCACAGCGCTCTTTGCATGAGTTGTTTGCTCAGGCAGAGCCAGCAAATGTATATAATCCTCCAGGTGGTGGCTGTGGCAACTCCCAGCCGACGCCACCTGTCGACGCTTCTGATCTCACAGTTTTTCGTATTAACACCAGATCCTTTAATGCACACAATGGCGAATTGTCCGCTCGTCTCCTCCTCTTTCCTTCGCCTCCTCATGCTGTTTGTTTGACTGAAACGTGGATGGACGCGTCTGTGAAACAGCCGCAGTTGCCCGGCTACACTTTGCTGGCGCGCCGCGACAGCCACCTGCAAGCAGGGGGGGTGGCGATTTTCGTTCTTGGCGAAATCGTTCCCACCTGCTCGCTTCTTTTTGAATCCGATCCAGCAGAAGTAGTTTGATTCCTCGTTCACTGTAGCTCCGGTCCGCTTTTGATCGGACGCATGCACAGACGACCTCACTATGGAGAATGTGTTTCACTTGATGTACTTGAACATGGTATTTCTAAGTTGCAAGAGCAATCCGTCGGTTCAGCTCTTGTTGGGGATTTTAACGTTCATCACCTTTCTTGGCTAAAGCATAGTCATTCGACGACCCCAGAGGGCGTCCGCCTTAAATCGCTTGTGCAGGAGCACGGTTTCTCGCAGCGTGTTCGCGCCCCGACACGCGGCCAGCACTTACTCGACCTAATTATTACTGATCTGCCAAATCTTTTAACTGTTGAGGTCGCTAGTGAGATTGCTGACCATCGCGGTGTATCGCTTCGCTTTTCTGGCCCTCCTCTCTGCCCCGAATTGGTTACACGGCAGGTTTGGCATTTTGCACGTGCGGATTGGACCGGTCTGAGGCGCCGTTTTTGCAGTCAAGATTGGCGCTGGAATTCTGCCACTTCCCCAGACGAGTCCGCAGAGCGAGTCACGAGTAGAATTTTGGAACGCATGGCAGATATCATCCCTTCCTCTTCGCTCTCGTTTCGCTCTTCCCATCCTTGGTTGACAGACAAATGCATACGTTTAGTCGAAGAGAAACATGCAGTGGCAGGCACGGAATGTCGTAGGTGTAGTTCTGGTCCGTTGCAAGCTCACGCCGATTTTATCCAGCGCACGCGAAACAAGCTTCGTTCCATTCGCCGCGGCAGCAAGCGTTGGCGGCAGTTGTCGAATGTTATCTTGGGCCGGGTTGCTAAGCCGACCACTTCGCCCCTCAAGAGATCAGACGGGAGTCGGGTGGTGACGAGCGCTTCGAAAGCGGAGCTTTTTGCTTCCAGCTTCGCCTCAAAATGGGACTTGCCAGCGTCTGAAAACAACATTTTCTGATTTGTCCGACGTCTTAGCGCCGGCAGAAAGCGGCGATTTCCTTCGTATCCGGGAGCGCAGCGCACAGAATGTGTTGTCTTCTCTCCGTGCCGACAGTGGCACGGGTCCAAACCGTGCGCCAGCGCGTGCACTGAAGGCACGCGCTCAAGCTCTGGCGCGACCGCTCTGACTTTTAGCACGGTCCATCGTGGCTCACTCCAGGTGGCGGCCTGTTGGTGCGAGCACTGGATCTATGCTTTGCACAAGCGCAGGGCCATGTCTGATCCAGACGACCATCGTGGAATTCAACTCACGGCGCAGTTTTTTTCTCTCTCTCTCTCTCTCTCTCTCTCTCTCTCTCTCTCTCTCTCTCTCTCTCTCTATATATATATATATATATATATGCGTGTGTGTGTGTGTTTCATATGTCTTTTTTTCTTATCAGCCTCGGACATGCATGAACTCCTCACCACTAGCCTTCTTCAGACAGGCGAACAAACGGCCGCCGATCGAAAGAAAGACCCTTTGCACTAAAAAATCAACAGGGAGGGACAGGGACGGAAGAGAGGAAGAGGGGAGGGGAGGGAGGGGGAGGGAAAGGCGAGAAAGGACTAACTAAACCGGCGCCCACGCGCGATGAGCCAGAAGAGGGCGGAAGGCGAACGGCTGACGCTACGAAAGCAAAACCTTCCACTGAGCGTCTCCCGCGCGGGCCCGGGAGCACAGAAACAACTGGAGCATGCATTGAAAATCGTGGACAGTTGGTTGGTGCACGGTTGCCCCCAGTAAGATATTGTACAACCGCGCGCCTCCAAGAGGAGACCTGCGGACATAACTGGCGCAGAGGCGCTGCATGGACGTCTCATAGCCGCTTTGTTTGTTTCACGTCTGGAACGCATGGGAATATTCGGCATGCACCAATTCGCGCATTGACGACGCCGCGGAGCACGCGACGCGCTCCTTCACCTCATCCTGTCCTGCCAACACACATTCTCGCTCGGGCACCGCATGGTTGTTTGCTGCTCGGACGTGTCTGGCTGTCGACAGAGTCGATGCCGACCGTCTCCGGCAAAAACTTCGTTCTTTCAGCGTGCCACAGCACCTTGTAGATTTGCTTCCCAGTTGGCTTCTGCCCTGCTCGGCTCGGGTCGCGGTAGGAGGCCAGCAGACGCTTATTATCCGAATGTGCGATATGGTCTACCAGGGTACTGTGCTCGCCAAGTGCTCTGGATCACATTTATTCATGGCAAGTCGGGTTGAAGATTTTGACGAGATTATTTTTGCCGACGATCTGGCTGCTTCAAAACAGATTCCGGCGGACATTTTCGACGCATTAGCCCTCCAGGCCGCTTCTTTTCTGCGTTCTTTGCACGAGTGGAGGCGCGCAAACAGAGCCCGCTTTGATTCAAGCAAAAGCGCCCCCGCATTCTATCGCAAAATAGACGAGCAGGCGAAAATTGTGAGTTGCTGGGGTGACGCTCGATATGAAACTCCCGATGCGCGACGCTATGAATCAATGCGCGGACGGCGCTTCGTGGCGCGTCTACAACCTCGTGCGTTCGAAGCGCTACCACACCGACGCTGTGCTGGTTGGTCTTTTCGAAACGCACGTCCTGTCTTACATCGAGTACCGAAATTGCGCCATCAGCCATGCATCCTCTACTGTGCTTGCACCTCTCGATGCCAGTTTCTTGCGGTGCTTACGTTCATTGCATATCACACCGCTGCAAAGTCTTCTGTACTTTCATTGGCCCCGTTGAACGTACGGAGAGACATCGGCATGCTTGAAAATATTAATCGCAGACTTCTTGGTCTCGGTCGCTCAGTTATGTTGCCCTTCCCCCGCTGTCGTTCTTCGTCAATTTTGTTCTCACTCTCGCCAGCTTGCGGGGCCTTCCTGCACTGCGCCGTTGCGTCCTTCACTCGACCGTATATATATATATATATATATATATATATATAGATGGGGGGGCGGGGCAGAAGGGAGAGAGAAAAGAGGAAGAAGAAGGAAGAATAAAAAAAAAAAAAAAAAAAAAAAAAAAAAAAAAAAAAAAAAAAAAAAAAAAAAAAAAAAAAAAAAAAAAAAAAAAAAAAAAAAAAAAAAAAAAAAGGCCCGACTGGGGGGGGGGGGGTGGGGGTCGTTGGGGGGGGGGGGGGTGGGTGGCAGTCCGCAGGAGGAACAAGGAAGAGAAAAAAAGGAAGAGAAAGAGAAATAGAAAGACATGAAAATAGAGAGAGAAGGCAAAAAAAAAAAAAAAAAAAAAAAAAAAAAAAAAAAAAAAAAAAAAAAAAAAAAAAAAAAAAAAACAAAAAAAAAAAAAAAAAAAAAAAGAAAAAAAAAAAAAAAAAAAAAAAAAAAAAAAAAAAAAAAAAAAAAAAAAAAAAAAAAAAAAAAAAAAAAAAAAAAAAAAAAAAAAAAAAACGGAAAGAAGAGAACAAGAGCAGAGAAAGCAGGCAGCAACGAGAAGCAACACGAAGAAAGAAAGAGGGAGGGAGAAGGGCGGAGAAGGGGGGCGAAGGGCACCAGCCCACGTGCACGGCGACCGCGCAGCGCGCGCGCCCTGCGCTCCACGCAGGCGGCCACAGGAAGCGGAAAGAGGAGGGGAAGGAGGCAGAAGAACGACAAGAGGCAGCAGCAGGCACCGAGCCAAGCAAGAAACGAAGACGAGAACAAGAAAAGGAGAACGAACGAAAACAAGAAGAAAAACAACGGAAAAGACAAGGACGGGAACGAAGAAGAACAGAGACGAAAGGAAGGAAGAAGAAGAGACGCAGAAAAAAAAATCCGCGGCTATCTCAAGAAAAACCGCCTGGGCACCACACAAGGGCCATCAGGCCGCCGGGCGCCAGTTCCGAAAGCGGCGCACTTCGTGGAAAGCGAGCGGCAGACGCCACGAAAACAGCTGTGGCCAGGTCGCAACCTGACCTGGCATGACACAGAAGCCCAGACAGTAGACTTTGGAACTCTTTCACGTCATGGGCGCTAACAACGCTCTCAGGAAGACAATTGTACATACGAGCGCCACCCAACGTGGAACGAATTACATAATCGGGATCCCGAGCAGGGCAGGGATCGGCCACATGACGGAAATGCCTGGGAGGAGCGCAGAGGGGACAGGAAACAAATCAAATGGGAAGAAGTGTTTAACACTTGCCCGGCGGGCCCCAAGAAGAGCCCTGTGAATGAGACCCAAGCTATGTCTCTTCGAGAACACAAAGGAACTAACTTAAAGTGGTGGAGTGCATCTAAATCAGAAATGCCCACACTGCGGAAAAACGAGCTTTGAACACGATCCAAAAAGGCCAGGACGGAGTTAGAGGCATGCGTGAAAGCACAAGTTCTGCTTTCGATGAATGATAAAATGTGCGCTTTATATAACAAGACAAGCTCGGCGCCTGCGTGAAAACGCCGCGCGCGCATTAATGATTGCAGCCTCCAGCCACACTCGTGCACACAGCTCTGCACCGCATCTGTCATTATAAGCTTACAGTCAAAATCAACACCTAAAATTTCGAAATTGCTTCCTGCCGGCCGGCTCCGTGAGACGATGCGCAAACTTTCTTTAGGAGGCTCAAAAACAACTGCGTTTGCACGACCCCATTCACGCAAGCAGCTCCGAGACTGCCGCACCGACGCAAACACATCAGCATCGGAGGTGGAGAAAGGAAAGGGACGAAAAGCATTCAGATTATCAGCATAAAGAATTTCTTGAAACAACATTCTGATGATGGCTTTCCAAGAGTCACTGAAAAATAAATTCCAAAAAGGTGGGCCAAACACAATGCCCTGGAAGACCATGTCGGTCATTCAACGCACGAAACGCGCGTCTTGACTAGACCGACCAACTTCGCATAACACGTCAACATGTTTTTGTTGCATCGAATCAGTACCTGATAATTTCATATTGTCTCAACACCTTGCTAGCCAAACATCAGGACTCTGATGGTTTGCGTCGACGACTCTGTTCGCGACCTTAAGCGTGCAAAGATCCTTGAGAAAACGAAAAAAAAATGTCCATATCAGAAACGCTCGTAGAAACGTTAAAACTTGCCCGGAACCTTCCCGTTTAAAAATACCCAGCCTGGATGACCACCCAAACGTCAAATAAAAAAAAAAAAAAAAAAAAAAATTACAATGAAAACACAGCAAAATAACGGCCTCCAATCGTCACTCGCGCCCGCGTCCGCAAAACCAGCTCGCAAAGAAAACGGAACAACTGGGAAACACTCCGCACACAAAATTTCAACATCGACTCGGTCGAAGGTGTCAGAGACATTAGCGCAGCATAGCAAACGGAGGAGACAAACAAAAAATAAAAATAAAAATACAAAAAAAAATGTAGAAAAATACTGCGTGACGTGCCCCATGATTGCGTCGATATGTTCGTGAAATCTTGAACTTGGCATTGTCCAAAACCCGAGAAATCAAAATAGAACTCTTCTGAAGGGCTGCATGATATTCACGCGCCCCTCCTCGCGTGCACGCACGCGTGGCGCGCCGGAAGCGCTGCTGCATCAACTGCCGGTTCAAACAACCTTCTGCAACGACTCTGCACCAACAAAATTAAGCTGTTATCAGCACCACTGTCCGACTTCCAATCTAAATCCTATAGCTCTCAGAAAGCTCTCCAGAATTTTTGTATTTTTCGTGTCGACAATAAACTGTTCTGTCATATGTTTAAATGATAAAAGAGGCCTACAGAGGCGATACTGGCGCTAGCAGTGAACCGTCAACCTGGTTACCGCTGGCGCCTTTGTAGAGTTTCTTGCGCGCTAACACACGAACAGAAGAACTTTGCAGAATGTGTCTATAAAATCTTAGATTTTACATTTTTCATAGAGAAATAAAGAAAAAGCAGATAACGAGACCAAATAGCTAGAAATAAATGTAAAAATACATTTGAATTGTCTGACTCGCAACCATGAAAATTTGCGCAGCCACGAAATGCGTAAGAAAAATTGTTTGGGATATGTTTCGATTACCGACAACGGAAACAAAGAACCATCGTAGCCATCGATATAAAATATATACCGGTTTTCTTTGAATTTGCGTATCCTTCTTTTGTTTTTCTGTTTCCTATTCTTCTTATTGTTAACCTTCTTGTTCTGGCTCGCAGTTTTGTTTTATCTTTCTCATTTCTTATGTACTCGGATATTTGTCTAACTCCCTTATATTTATCTGTTTATTTCTCTTTTCTTGTCTTTTAAGTGGTAGATTTACATCATGTCATTTCATATGAATCAGCACGCGTTCCAAGATTTTCATTTAAATCCAGATTTACATGATTTTGAATCTAGAAACCAGTGTCTACCATATATATATATATACACATACACATATACATATATACATACAGAAGACATATATATACATGTTAGCTTCCTATATATATATATACACACGCACACACACACATATACACATATAAATATATATATATATATATATATATGTGGTGGAGACTGGATTATAGATTCAAAGTCCTTTAAATCTGGATTTGAATGAAAATCGTGGAGCGCGTGCTGCTTTATATGACAAGAAATCATCTAAATCTAGATTCAAATGAATATGTTTGTCGACTCATAATCGATCATTTAAATCTAGATTACAATGAAATACACGTATCGCATCTAAGTCGACCGCTCATAACAAGCAAAAAAACGAAAAGAAAACGCGAAAGAAAAGAGAGTTCGATAAAGATCCAATAATGCAAGATCAGAGAACGAGAACAAAACTGCGAGCGAGAAGAAGAATATAAACAATAAGAAGAAGTGAGAAACAGAAATACGAAAGAAAAACAAAGAAATTCAAAGAAAACCGGTGGATATTTATATTGAAAGCTATAGCTGGTTTCCGTTATCGGTAATCGAAATTGTTAGTATATACCGCGAAGATTGTCTCACGCGCTTCGTGGCTGCGCAAGTTTCGGTGGAATCACCTTCCTTAGGTGACAAGCCAGACGATTCTATATAGTGTTGTACAACATGTCTTTGTCTTTGAGCATGTATTCCGCACCTGTTCGGCTGAGTGCAGAGCAATCTCTTTCCAGACTTCCTACATCACGTTTTCGGTCCGCTTGAAACGGAGAATGTTTCCATATATCACGTTCTTATTCCCATTGTGGGTGAAGAGCGTT